TGTAGAAGTTTGGTGGAAACTTCGAGTGAACTTCCATTGTGTTTCCTTGCCGCAGATCATTCTTTTGTGGCTGGACCGTGCAGGTTCCTGATCTTTTGACTGTGGGTGCTCCTGGTGCAATGGCTCCCAGTATGTCCAAGGCGCTCAAGGACAAGGGTGACAAACCGACTGGGAAAAGCCTTGTCCTGAAGAAGCCGGCCGCCCTTGCAGTTCAGAAGAAGCCCTCGCTTAGCCTTGTCAGCCAGGTTCAGTGCGAGATGAAGAACGAAGAAGAGAAGGACAATCAGACCGATGCGACTGGGCGAGACAAGGGGAAAGCGGTAAAATACAACAAGATGAAAGATGAACTCCCGGCATGGCTGGTGGACCTCGTAGAGCAACAGTCAAAAAAGAGCAGTTCGCCTCGTCAGATGAAGTCTGACCTGATTAACAAGATGTATCGACGAGAAGCCGACGGCTCGCTCTCCCTTCAGCTGGACCAGCCGGTGTTCACAGAAGCCCAGAAGGCGACTTGGGTTGGTTGTGTGGTATGTTTTCCGGTGGATGGCTTCTTTGGTTAAGTTCTTTTGTGGTCTCTAGATGAATCCCAAACCCGAGCATCCCAAAAGCAATCGTATAGATAAGGCTAAGCCTGAAACCTTAAACCCAAACCCCAAACTGCCTAAAGCTACTTGCTTTCACACAGAGGGAGAGACAAAGACACACATACATACACACATACATACACATATACATACATACATATATACATCTCTATATATACATGTGTACATACATGTTTGTGTGTTTATTCATATATATCCGAATATGGATACACACTTAAACAGACACATAGAGATAGGAACTTTTTGTTTAGATGCATACATGTTCTGTAAATCGAATGTATGGCCGAGGAAGGATTCCGAGGTGTGTTGGCTTTGTATATATCTATATCTATGTCCTTATCTATATCTATATATATATATATATCTATATATATATATTATCAATATACGATTTTTTTACATAAGGAGTCCATGTATAGCGACTTTTATGATGTGTATCCCCTGTCGTTCTTATCTCACGACCTACCTCTCTCCCGGGTAAACTTTACCATCCCTGCCATCCCCTGCCAGATTTACAGCCGCAAGTACCGCAAGTCGGAGGAGGAGGCGATGGCAGAAAGCTTGATGCTCGGACTTTATTTTCAGGGCAACCAGCAGCGGTTCGACAGGGCGGCCGAAAAGGGGGAGATCATCAAAGTCAAGACCGAGAACGACGGCGGAACCGATGTTCAGTTCTGGGCCTTTCGGAAGTTCGTCGTTGGTCAAGAGGACGGCAAGACGTCTTCGCACAGTACAAGCGGATCGCGAAAGCTCAGCGGCAGCGACCTGAGTGCATTGAGGGCTGCTTTCAAGAGTCTCAATTGGTCGTTTGATGTCTACTCCAACGACGAAGTGATCGGCAAGGATGGTTGGTCCAGCAATGCAGCACACCTCCTGGACCAGGCCCGAAGCGCTTTGGAGAAGCTGAGCAAAGACGCCAGGGCCCTCATCAACAGCTGGAAGGGAGATGCCGACATGCTGGCTGAGATGAAGAAGGGCTACTCCAAGGCATTGCAGCACTCCAACGAAATGAGCCACATGAATGATCTGCAATCCTTCTCGGACGGAACAGCTGTTACGAAGGACAATTTTCTGCCATTCATGAAACGAGTGGCGATGGACGTCGAGGCCTTCAACATCACTTTTCAGAAGGCCAAGGCCGAAGCCAAGACCCGAAGGGCATGAGCTTAGGCGACAGCAACCGGCACACCGAGAGGGAGGGCGAACCCAGACTCCGTTTACACGGCCCCAACCTTAAGGCCCCAACCTTAAAACTTGCTTCATAAGCTGCCCACACCTCGAGTGCCAAGTCAGATTTCTGCACAGGTTCTCCATGCATCCGTTTTGGGGCCACCATGCAGATTCGTGCCCACAGGATGCTTGCAGAGCCCAGCATACCGGCCTCGTGCCACCACGAGCGAGAGCGAGAACGAAGGTTGACCGAGAGAGTGATTGTTGTTTGCTTTTGCACCGGAACCCGAAAGCATACATACACCTCTCATTTACAAAATCTACTATAGTGTACTGTAGATTCACCCCATGCCCAGCCTCTAAAGCCTACACAACCCAAAATCCGATCCCCGAAAACTGATCTCCAACAAACCATCAAGCTTGAGCTCCAAAGCCTAGCCCAAAAAACATCCATTCAGGTCTATCATGTTGGTCGCATCCCCAAACCATCCCATCTGTAACCGACCATCTTGATCATGCCACAAAGCCCCTCTTCGATGCAGGTCTTCACAGATGTCGTGCCCGAAATCAAGGTACCAGGGTCAGGGGTTGGGGAGAGAGGGCAAAGGTGTATAGTGTTTATTATAGGGTTTAGGGTTGGGGGTTCAGGGTTTAAGGTTTTGGTTACAAAAGGGTTTCGGGTTTATCAAGGATTATAAATAAATAAATATATATATATATATATATATATATATATAGGGGCTTGGGGTTCAGAGTTTAGGCTTGAGGGTCCAGGGTTCAGGTCTATATAGGGTTTACACGAGTCTAGGGTTTATCAGGGTTTAAGGGTGTAGGGTTCCGAGTTAGGGTTGAGGGTTCAGGGTTCATGGTTTACGGTGTATACAGAGTTTAGGGTTTAGAAGGGTTGAAAAGGGTTTGGGGTTCAGAGTTTAGGGTTCAGGGTTCAGGGTTCAAACGAGTTTCGGGCTTAGGGTTTCAGGGTTTGGGGTTCAGAGTTTAGGGTTCAGGGTTCAGGGTTCAAACGAGTTTCGGGCTTAGGGTTTCAGGGTTTGGGGTTCAGAGTTTAGGGTCCAGGGTTCAGGGTTCAAACGAGTTTCGGGCTTAGGGTTTCAGGGTTTGGGGTTCAGAGTTTAGGGTTCAGGGTTCAGGGTTCAAACGAGTTTCGGGCTTAGGGTTTCAGGGTTTGGGGCTTATATAGGATTTTGGGTTTTTTGATAGGGTTTCACCCCGAAGCCCTATACACTCTAAAATACACCCTAAGCCCCTGAACCCTAAACCCTTAAGGGTGATTGTCCGAGTGTGAGCGCCGAAACCCTTATAACCCACCCGGTTCCCCCAAACCCCGAACCCGCGATAAACCCTAAACCTTGAACCCTATAATCCCTTAAACCCTTACAAAAAGCCCCCCCCATTCCCCCGAACCCCGAACCCGCACAGTTGTGCTTGTTATGGAAATTTGGGGTTGAAGGTTCAGGGTTTTTTTCGGGTTGATGGTCTTATAGGGTCATGTAGGGTTCAAGGATTGGGGTTTACAGGGTCTTGCCGGCTTCGGTGTAGTTTCGGTGTGGGTGTGTGTGACGGCTTGCAACTATATATATCTAGTCAAAACCGTGGACCTACATAGTGGATACCTGGTCCAGGGGATTATATATATATATATATAATCATGTATGATTCGGGCTTAGGGTTTAGGGATGTGGATCCAAGCAGCCCTTACTTACATAAGAGTTCGAAGCAGGCACCACTTGTCCTTCAGCGAACTATATCAATGCTGCCCGAACCTTCTTTTGTCTAGATTCCCATGCTTTGTCCTGACTGCAAAATCAGGCTAGGTACATTATATACTGTGTTTAGTGGATTCGCTATTTAGGCATATCGCACATAAGCCTTCACAAACCCGAAATCTTTCAACTGTATAATGAACCCCACACCCTGGAACCCTGAAGCCCTCTTGACCTGAATCAAAAAACAGCTCAACCCTATAATAGCAGAAGCTGACCCATCCCAGGACATGCACTCCTCAGATCGCAAAACCCTATATATACAAAACCCAACCTTTGCAAAACCCTATATATACAAAACCAAACCTTTGCATATAGCAGCCACACATGCCTCGCTCAGGGTTCCCTCTCTCACTCCGGGTTCACTTTCTCCCTCAAGGTTCAGTCTACATCACACGTCTCTCGCTCGCGGTTCATTCTCGCTTAAGGTTCGCTCTTGCACAGGTGTGCCTTTCTCGCTCAAGGTGTCCTATCTCGCTCAAGGTGCCCTCTCTCGATCATGTCGCTCAGGGTTCCTTCTCGCTCAGGGTTTGATGGATACACTGCCTATAAACACCATCAAACAAACCTTGAGATAATTCAGGGATTGCTTTTGAGGAGCATTGTCATATGATAAGCTTTCGAGCTGAATAAATTGAAAAATGTACATCAATCCCCCAATATAAGCGCCTGAATCGTGTGTCTGTGCATTCATGGTCTGTGTGTATAATCGCATCTCCTGCAGCTGCGGGGGAAAAGCACAAAGAGGCTTCCCGAGTATATACCCATGTGCAGGGATTGCAAAGGGGTTGCAAACATATATATATATATATATATATACATATATGTATATATACAGAAAAATATGGCTTCATATCATCAAAGGTAATCGGTGATTCAGGAACGGTTTAGGGTTTAGGGTTGAAAGCTATGTTGTAGGAGGCATTGGGATCCTTAAGTAAGCCTCTATACGAAGAGTAAACACATCTATATATGTACCATCTACACCTGACGTTCAAGTTTTAAAGTCTTTCGGGTTATACCGGGCCGGGGTTTAGGTGCTGACATGGGAACTGTGTGAGTTCTTCACGGTGCCATGGCCGATCCCGGAGCCAGAAAGAGAACACGGAGTGGAGGCATAAGGCAGAGGGTTGCAAAGATAGGGAAGGAAAGCAAAGATGATATCATGAACAGTCGTTTGGCGGATCATCTTTTGGATAAGTGGTCCTGGGGCGAAATGAGTGCCCAAGATATCCAAGCCATAGCAGCTTTGTGTGTGGAAGACTACGAGATGCACAGGGACTTGACAGTGCTCAGGAAGATCGGCGAGGCTGGTATGCACGGTTTCTACTCCAACAAGGTGTATCAAGCAGTACACAAGATTGCTGCTCAAGGCATTCATATTCCACGACCGTCTTTGTACAAGATCCCCTTCAAGAGCCCTTGGGACATGCTCTTGCAAGCTATGATGCTACCCCACATACTTTTCTCATGCATTTATTCAAGCTACCCAGCCACGTGGAAGAAATCCATTTGTCCGAGTGTGGAAACATTGGAGCAGTTTTGGAATGCTATGTTGGAGAGCAAGAACCCCAATGTTACAAGTGCCATCACAAGAAAGAAGAATTGGAAGCAGCGGTGTATACCACTTGCCTGTCACGGGGACGGGGTCCCCGTGACAGGCCTGGGGAAAACCTGGGTCCAAACAGTAACCAACTTTTCATGGTTCAGTCTCCTCACCACCGGTTCCTCCACAATGGATGCACTTTTCTTTATATACTCTATGTACGACAAAATGAGAGCCGATGCGAAGGACTTGTCCGGAACTGCACACTATGTGCTCCAGCTGCTGCGATGGAGCTTCGAGATTCTCTTTAAAGGTGTGTGGCCTTCAGCTGACCATTTTGGCCAGGTGCATCTCGGCTTGATTTAGAACAACACAGAATCTTGAAGCCTAGAGAACGACAGTCCCCACTATAGTTTGTTGGAGATCCTTTCCCAAGTCTGTTATAAAGCTTATGTATGTCATGCGGAAACTGTTGTTATAAATCAAGTTTGAAGAACTATAACACTATATACTTGAAACTGTGTGAACCATGGTAGAAGGTGCTTTCAAGTTTTTCTCCACACAGGTACCCCGAGGACTCCCCCCAAGGGCGAAAAGCCGGCAAACAGATCGCTGGCGGATTCTGCGGCACTTTATTTTCCGTGGTTGGTGACCTCGATTACTATGCGAGTGTATTGGACCTGCCACGGTCGACATCGGCATCGTCACCGTGCTGTAGGTGCCAGGCGACGAAATACGGACACTTGAGCTGGCAAAACTACCACCCTAATGCACCGTGGAAAGCCACGGTGTACAGTCCCAGTTCCTGGCGGGGGCTGCCAGCTGCGGAAAAGTCCACCTGCCCACTCTTTCATATGAGTTCCACCAGCATCTGCAATTTGGGGTTTGACTACATGCATTGCAAGTATTTGGGGCAGGACAGAAAGCTGTACTCCTCCGTCCTTTTCCTTTTGGTTTTTTATGTGCTCAATCTCGGCAGCCCAGAGGCGAACATGGACTGGGTTTGGTCGCAAATCCAGATCCACTACCGAACCTTTGGTACGGAATCGCGGTTTCTTTACCTGAACAAGGTCTCAATGTTTTTCAGGGCCAAGGTCCGTGCTTTGGGCCTTCGAGGCAAGGCGGCCGAGGTTCGATCTTTGGCGAAGCCGCTATTCTTGATATGGGCGAGCACAATGAATCACTCCGTCGAGCTTCACCGGAAAGTCCATTTGCTCTTGAAATTGAACAACAAGCTGGAGGAGATTTTGGCGGAGAACAAGTTCCAGTTCACCTTGTCAGCAGCAGATGCCGCCGCTTTCAGGGACTCAATGAATGGATTTTTACTTCTGCAAGAGCAGCTGTCCCAACACTTCAGCAACAGCAACCATGATCCACCCCTCTTCTCCACGACGGAGAAGTGTCACTTCTTGCAGCACATTGCACTGGAGTCTCGGAGCATAAACCCACGTCTTCTATGGTGTTTCTCTGGCGAGGACTTTCAGCGACGGGTTCAAAGAATAACTGCAGCTTGCGCCAGAGGGCAAAAGCCAGGGCAGGCCGAGGTGAAGATGTGCCAGCGATACCGAATCGCACTCCACCTCCGTTTCCGAAAGCATGAGCTGTGAAAAAACAGGGTGTATAGGACGGTTGTTGTGTTTCACATGTGCAAAGCCAACGTTTTCTATGCATAAATGCTTGCCCGGCCAGGACTATTCTCCTCGTGTGCGACGACGGGAGACAGGAAAGGGAGGAACCCTACCACGAGAGACAGTGCGGGCTTCATCTCTGTATCTCTCTGTATCTCTCTATCTCTCTGTCTCTCTCTCTCTCTCTCTCTCTCTCTCTCTCTCTCTCTCTCTCTCTCTCTCTCTCGTTGTGTTTGTCAGGGTTTAGGGTTTAGTGTTTGACTAAATCTACCAAAAAGAATATACCGTATATACATATACACACACATATACACTGTGTATATATATACATATATATATACACACAGGTCTGTTATAATAGCTCTGTACCAGACACATCTCAAGAAGTCCCTGAAAACAAAGATCTGAAGCATTGCCTGTATGTATATCTGCTCTGTATAATGTTTTGATACGGTTTACCAAAAAGGTTTGAGGAACCTCACATCTCTATGAACACCAGAAAGATCTGAAGAGTTGCTTGTATAAACCAGGGAAGATCTGAAGCATTGCCTAAATATTTGCTCTGTATATCATTTCTACTGCTTACCAGAAAGACCTGAAGAATTGCCTTTACCAGAAAGATCTGAAGAATTGCCTTTATATACCAGGAAAGATCTGAAGCATTGCTTATCAATCTGCCCTCTATTGTTTCTACTATACCAGAAAGATCTGAAGAATTGCTTGTATATCAACGAGGGAAGATCTGAAGAATTGCCTGCAGAAATTCGCTGCATCTATATTATATCTATAAGCAGAAAGAAAGAACTTCGCCCTTGAATCTCTGTCTTGTGTGCAAGATTTCCTAGCTTTTCGTGCTCCAAATCGCCACACGAAACTTCCACCAAACTTCCCTTCAAACTTCCACCAAACTTCCTCGGTTCAGGCCTTCAAACTTCCACCAAACTTCCTCTCAAACCCTTTGTAGCCGCCCCAAACTTCCACCAAACTTCGGGCGAAGTTTGGGCGAAACTTCCTCGAAACTTCCTCTGGTCGCGTGTCGAGGGATCGGACGCAGTTTTGTCGTATTCGGCAAATTTTGCCGGATTCGGGAACTACTTTCGGTTAACGACTTGTCGATTCGACAACCCAGGTTTGCCGAATTCGGCAACTTGTTGTTTTAACGATTCGACAGGAATTTCCCGAAATCTAACAAGTTACCGGTTCGGCAGGAATCTGTCTAACCGGGTCTATTGGGTAGAGCTGGTCGAGCCGCTAAAATGCGCCCCACAGCTTCCGCCGCGCTGCACCTTGTGTCCTGCATCAACCACGCGCAAAGGGCCGCAGGGCTGCGATTGATGCCGCCGAAGCAGTGGAAGAGCACGTTGAAGTCCTTGCCCTCCTTTCTGCAGGCTGTGCGTGCACTCGACAGAGCATCAGCCATGCCTTTCCAAGTTTGGGTGCAGTTCTGCGTGCATTCCAAGAACCAGTCCGGATGCTGGCTGTACCTGACCTGGTGGTCGTCCAGCTCGACTTGCAAGTGACGCACACCGCAATCGAGGAAGTGCTTGTTCCAATCTCTCGGAGTTCCTTTCACTTGCATCTCTGTTTTCCAACAAATGCTGACAACAACTGTAACAGGAACTTTCGTGTGCAACTCCACATTGTGGAGGTCCGCAGCCGAGCGCAAGCTGCCGAGCAGACACTTCTCGCCGGGCTCGGAGCTCACCACCACAGCGTCGAGAGGCCACTCCGAGATGTCCCCGAAGTTGTAGGACTCGCCCCAAACAATGTAGTCCATGTCCGACCAAGGTCCATGCTCGTATTTGTTTGCAATTTCGAGCTGCCAAGTTCGAATAAATGTTTCTTCCGCATCTGACATCGCCGACGAAGCAGAAGAAGCAGAAGACGAAGAAGCGGCCAGGGCATCCATATGTGCAAAGTAGCAAGCAGGCTCGAAGGAACTAGGTCTCTCGGGCCAAAGCTGTCAATACAAGCAAGCAGAGAGAACACTCCGGTCACGACAATTCGCTCCACGCGATCCCTCACTTCCTGCCATTCTCCAGGCTGATCATTTCCACGATCTCGTCCTCAGACGTTTCCGTGATTACCTTGATAATCTCGGTGATTTTACCACTGGATGATGCATGTGCTACAGTAATGGTCCAGGTGATTGGGTCTCGCGCGACAGCAGCTTTGGCCGCGAGCTAGACACACAGCCCGCTGGCGGAAGGCAGCTTTCGCAAGACAGCGTCGACTGCTCCGTGTGAGACGTTTGCAAAACCGTACCCTCGCTTGCTGCAGGTCCGTGACCTGCAGCACAAGGATTGAGAGGGTCGGCATATCCTTCTCACAAGACAAAAACTACACCTTGTCTCCAGTCACCTTGTCTCCTGTTTTCCAGGTCTCGCAAGACAGGCCAAAGGAGCCAGTACACTACATAAAGCACATCCGTGTTCACTTGAATCTGCGGGAAGTCGAAGTCCGGCTCGTTGGGTGGGAAAAGGTACTCGGGGTATCCTAAGGACATCCTCGCATCCAGATACTCACCAATGAGACGATTCACATTTCCAGGCAGGCCTTGCAACTCCAAACTATCAGCACCCGAGGTCCATAGCAGCGCCACAGTGATGGCCACGGGAGCCGACATCTAAACTGCTATCATCGCGCCGAGCTTGAGCCGGTTGTGCAGCTGAAGCAGGAATGTCAAGGTCGGTGTCGATTCGAATGTGCGTCGCAGGACACGCCCAGCTTTACATTCCGTTGCAAGGCTGCCTAGGATGCCGGAAGAGCCCCGGAAGAGCCCCTCCGCTGTCGGTTGGAAACCGACAGCGGAGGCCAGACACGCAATCCACTCGCGAAATGCAGCTTTCGCAAGACAGCGTCGACTGCTCCGCGTGGGGACTTTTTGCAAAACAATACTATCGTTGCTTCGAACAGGTCAGTGACCTGCAGAAACAAAGGGACCTCAAGGCGCACGGAAGCCGTGCAACGGCATTCCCGGCGCGAACTCCGGGTCCATAATTTCTTGGATCCTGCGCAGCAGCTGCACGATCCTTTCGTGTTCCCGAGACCAATCTTGCATGGTACGCATCAGCTCAGCTAACTGCACGTTCATTCGCGCTTGATCCAGCAGCATGTTGTTCAGCTGACCTTGAAATGTATGCACAAGGACCTCATAATTCACTGGAGTGGGGTACACGTTTGCATTCGCGCTGGTGTCCGATCCAACTCCATCCTCGCGAGAATCCTGTTGCGCTTGGTCCGGACCTTCCACCGTGGATGTAGTTGCATCTCCAGGATGGGGATCCATGGCGCCAAACAGACACGAAGAACGGAATCTAACTCAGCAGCTGCGTGGAAGAATGTAGCATGCGAGCAGGAGCAGCCAAGATTCGCCTTCGCTATCAATGAAGCTGCCTGAGCTCGCTCCTACCTGACAAGACGCCATGGAACAAACAGCATTTTTGTCGTGTCAAGGCCGAGAGAATCGCGCATCTAAGACTCAATCAGCGGCTTTAGAACATCACTGCTACGTGCAGAGGCTAGATACAGCCCACTGGCGGAATGCAGCTTTCGCAAGACAGCGTCGACTGCTCCGCGCGGGGACCGTCGCAAAACTGCACCCTCGCTTCGAGGAGGTTCAGTCAATGCAGCCCACTGGCGAAATGCAGCTTTCGCAAGACAGCGTCGACTGCTCCGCACGCGGACCCTTGCAAAACTCCACCCTCGCTTCGAGGAGTTTGAGTCAACGCAGCCCACTGACGGAAAGCAGCTTTCGCAAGACAGCGTCGACTGCTCCGCGCGGGGACCTTCGCAAGACTCTACCCTCGCTTCCAGGAGGTTCAGTTCATTTCCCAAGCGCTGCACTTCACTTTCGATGGCGTCTCCTGCACGAGGCTGCTGGCAGGTCGTTTGTTGCTTTGCAACGCCGGTCCGCCCTTGAGGAGGTTCCAGACCATCTCACGCTCCCTCGAGAATGTCTTGATCTGCTCAGGTGTCACTTTCGACATCCATTCCACCTGCAAAACCACCTCCTGGGTTGCAGCATTCTTGATCACACGGCCCAAGATCAAGCGCGGAAGGCCGTCTGCCATGTTGAAGAGGAAGCAATTTGTGAATTGACAAAAAGCCTCGATCCCGAATGCCTTTCTGTCTCCTACACGCTCGAGCGTGTGCGAGTACACCTCCTTGTGCTTCGTCAACAGGTGCTTCTCCTCGTCCTTGAACACCTCCTCCACGGTGGGCTCGTCCTCGGCAAAGGCCACAACGGTCACGTAGTTTGCGAAGACACCGCCTAACTTGAAGAAGGTGCCCATGTCTGAGCACATCAAATCGGCAATCGGACACTGGACTGGCAGCACAGCACCATCTCGCTTCTCGGTCGCAAGACGGGTGACCTTTTTCACCATCGGACGCCGGTCCTCGTCGTACTCCTCCCCGAAGCAGGCGCGAGCTGCCAAGACTTGAAACTGGGTCGGGGCAGCAAGTCCGCCGGTCACACTCGCCTGCGAAGCTTGCTGCGCGGAGCCCCCCCGCGGTTGGCCGAGGCGGTGCGACGTGCCCAGCCGTGCGTCGCACGGCCCCCTGAAGCAGACTGCCTCACTGCCTTTCAACTGGATCAACTCAACCAGCTTCTCTTCGTCACGGACCCGGGCCAGCGCCGCCAGCTCCGGTCCTCCCACAAGCACGTTGCTGAGCTGCCCCGTCCAGTCCGCCAAGTGCACGGTGGCCAGCACTCGCTGGGCATCCGCAGGCTCCGTCTGACATCCATCGGTGGCACGCTTGCACTTACCGGAAGTTGGGTCGATCTTCGTGGAACACACTTTGCACGGAGTATAGACTGGATCCCCAACGATGTCGACGAGCCAGACGTTGTGCAGGGCCACTTCGACTTTCTCCTGCGCCAAGCAAAGTCATGCAAGTTGGGGCACGGGAAAGCAGCTTCTACACAACAGAAACACGCGAAGGCAGTCCTGCGTTGATCCCTGCTCCATTGCGCT